CACAATTCCAAAATTAAAGCTTATTGATGAAATATGCTCTGACACATTTGTCAATACCGTGGCTACTTCAATCCATGCATTTTGACAACAACCTTGAATGTAGCTTTCACTTTCTTTTGTCTTTGCAACAAGGAGTCCAAAACTATAGATGAAACATTTATTTGTTGGTATATAGCATGGAAGAATCTATAAGCACTCTCCATAGTAGACTCGAGTTTACCAACTAAATATTCACATTGCTCCTTGTTGAATTTAAGTGAGTTTGTTCTATCTTCTAAGGAGGTCAACTCTTTCACTTTTTTTAAACACTTAGTTGCAATTTCTAAATACAATTGCAGTTGTAAATACTTGCTTGATTTAATAGCATCAAGAGTCAAAGCTGCACGTATTAAGTTTCAATGGACCTACTTCAAATCATATGGCACTTGCAACAACCAAAATGATATAATAAAACTAACACACATTATCCCATAGTAAACCAAAAGATTATTGTATAATGGATGTATGATACTACAAGAAAGCAAATGTTGCAGCCATATAACCATAGAACTAAAACAATTCTAAAATCAAAACACATTGAAATTATTGTGGAAAGAGCATTACCCACACCAAGAACATTTAGTAGAGATAATTGGGAAGCACTAACAATATGCTCCAATCCAACCATACTTTAGAAAAGAATCCACAAATTATCTTATAAATAGTTCAAAATTATAAGTAAGAAATCACCTTATTACCTACAAAAGATATGGACATTAAACATTAGCACATGTATAAAAGAAACTAAACTATATTCTTGTGAGCTAAATATCTCTAAATATTCTATATTCTTGTGGCTTACCAAACCTCACAATAGTCAACTTAACATAGATATTCAATTAGTTACAATTGTTGCACAAGTCCATGCAAAAATACCAATTAACTCCTTCAATCAAACATAACACAAGAAGCCTTAATAAAAAAAAAATCGTAATGCAACATCAAACAAATTACAAGTTCTCATTTCTTAGCGAAAATTCATCAATTAGGTATACTTCAGCCGCAAACAAAAAAACAATCCATAAATAATGATAATCCAGGAAGGATAAATCATCCATAGATGAATGTTCACCCAACTTGGTTCATCCCGACTCAGTTCATCCTATTCATAACCTAACTTCATCCAACTCACATGTTTACGCAATGCAACCGTTCATCCTTTCTAGAAATCCACCGCGATGTGGAAAATGTCGAAAAACGAGCCTGCGGAAGCTGCGATACCAGTTGTGCTGGAAGAAATGGATTTTCTCGTCGACGCAATGGCGGCTCAAAGTAGTTCAATCTTCGGAACCCTTCACATGAATGAAAGCGGGAAAGCAAAGCTGCCTTCAAGATGACTTGCAACTGAAACAGCCACAACCGCAGCAGTAATAGCCTTAGCCACAAAAAGATGGAGGAAATCAAAACCGAAGAATCACAAGGCGAAGACGACGAGGCCAGCAACTAGTAGCTAGCAACAGGAAAGCGCCAAAAATCCTCAACGCCACTGGACCACCAACACGAACAAGAAGACGAGAAGCGCCACCAGAGAGCACCGAACGGAACAGAATCATGCGACACCGTCGCACACTTGGCGCTTCCACCACAGCGCAACCAGCACCATCCGACACCCCTGCACGCACTACGAAGAGGAACAAGGGCCGAGCAGCTCGATGCAGGACTAGAACAAACAGCAGCAGGATTCGAAGCAAGAGCAGAATAGGAAAAAATAAACGGGGAGGAAATCCGTGGACACTGCAGTGGTCGGCGGCGGCGCAATAACATCAACAGAGAAACCAGGCGCCGTCGAAAACCAGCACCTTAGCATGGACACCCGTATCGCTCGCCCTCTGACCATAGACCAACTGAACAAGAACGGCCAGATCACGTCGACAACAGCAGATTTCACAGGAACAAAAACTCGGCACCGCCGCCGACCACAGAAAACAATAGCTATGCAAACCAGCCTTGCCCGCAGCACACCCCGAAGCAGGACCGCCACCAGACAACACCGCCGCCGTCACCACAACACACCGCACCGAAACAGCAAAACCCCTAGCACCCAAAAAATGCGGAGCTCCCAAAAACAAAAACCAGCAAGAAACCAAAAGAGTCCGACCAGCAGCCGAAACCCCCCTCGACAACTTCTCTCCCCGAGAAATGTGGATCGGCATCTCGCATCGACGGCCCTCTGTGATCGAAACCACATCTCAAAACAGCACCTCCCCCATCCTCCGCGGTACCGGATGCCTGATAGGGATTCGAGCTAGCTGTAAAATCCAATGTATGTTTACAGACTAGTTGATCTTTAAAACTACCTCTGAATTTCTGTTTCCAAGACGACGAATGTATACCCACTTGTGTAACAAATTAATTCCTTCACCACGTCGTGGAGGAGTTCCTGGCTAGCTCAAAATCATCACACTAACGACGAATTATCTGTGTTTCTGGGACTCGTAGGGAGTGTCCATGTTACATGTACCTCAGTTTCGAACTGGAATGTTTATGGCTTTGTCATAGCTGGGTAGACTGCATGGAAATGGCGATGGACTTCGTGTTGCATTCTGGAGTTGGCATCATGGTCAGTTGTTTCCTTTCTGAGAACCTTTCAATTCTTAAACTGTTGGTGGCATGTGCAGTGATTGTCTTTGTGTTAACCTGCATTTGGAACTGTTCAGCACTACGTTGAAATTACGGTTGTCCTGCTCAGCTCGTGGGAGGGCACAAACTGCCCCGCAATTGTACAGCAGGGAAAGTCCTCTTGGACGAACAACCAGGTGCCTAGACTTGCCACAAAAGAATCGTGGATGCACCCACAGCTTTCATTCACACCATCTTTTACCACCACCGGAGTGATGTTGTATCTTATAAGAACTTAGTAAGCTCATATTCAGTAACAACTTAGTAAGCTTTTTATTTCACACAAGGAGGCCCTAACATTCAAATCTAAATCGACGTCGGACTGTACCACACATATCTGGTAAGTTAAAGAGAACACTTGCATATATTAGCCACTGATAATGCGCCCAGATATCTGCTAATTTTACAAAACAAAGCTTTTTGCAACATCGGCCACTAACTAATCTGAGCTCACTCGCCAAATTCCGAGGCCAGTGACAACTGCTACAGAAGCTCCGTAATCCAAGCACTCGCTGCCACCGAAGGGGCGTCATGAAAAAGTCAAGCGGTACATACATCTTACCTAGAAACACTTCCTATGCACAATTGATGGACCTGACTCGTCGTACTCTGATTTCGCGATCCACATCTGCACCACAGAAAGAACAATATGTGCAAACACCGAATTAACCAACCTCTCGAAACATACTCAAATTCCGACTGCTAACTGAAAAGAAGTTCAATATTTACCACGTCCAACGTAGAAAATATCATGCAAACTCAGTTTACCTGCTGGAAGGTGCTGAGGGATGCCAAGATGGAGCCTCCGATCCACACGCTGTACTTCCTCTCCGGAGGCGCCACCACCTTGATCTTCATGCTTGACGGCGCCAATGCCGTGATCTCCTTGCTCATCCGGTCCGCTATCCCCGGAAACATCGTCGACCCCCCCGACAACACGATGTTCCCGTACAGATCCTTCCTGATGTCCACGTCGCACTTCATGATCGAGTTGTACGTCGTCTCGTGGATCCCCGCCGCCTCCATCCCGATCAGCGACGGGTTGAACAGCACCTCCGCGCACCGGAACCGCTCCGCCCCGATCGTGATCACCTGCCCGTCCGGCAGCTCGTAGCTCTTCTCCAGCGACGAGCTGCTCCGCGCCGTCTCCAGCTCCTGCTCGAAGTCCAGCGCCACGTACGCTAGCTTCTCCTTCATGTCCCGCACGATCTCCCGCTCCGCTGTCGTCGTGAACGAGTACCCGCGCTCCGTCAGAATCTTCATCAGCGCGTCCGTCAGGTCGCGCCCCGCCAGGTCCAGTCGCAGAATCGCGTGCGGCAGCGCGTACCCCTCGTAGATTGGCACCGTGTGCGTCACGCCGTCCCCCGAATCCAGCACGATACCTGCATTCCACGCACCGCCACATCTGTTCTCAATCACCTCCCACCTCCACATCCTACCACCACCATCCCCACCCCCTCACCACTCACTCCCCACTCACCCGTCGTTCGCCCGCTCGCGTACAGCGACAGCACCGCCTGGATCGCCACGTACATCGCCGGCACGTTGAACGTCTCGAACATGATCTGCGTCATCTTCTCCCTGTTCGCCTTCGGGTTCAGCGGAGCCTCCGTCAGCAGCACCGGGTGCTCCTCCGGCGCCACGCGCAGCTCGTTGTAGAACGTGTGGTGCCAGATCTTCTCCATGTCGTCCCAGTTCGTCACCACTCCGTGCTCGATCGGGTACTTCAGAGTCAGGATGCCCCTCTTCGATTGCGCCTCGTCGCCCACGTACGCGTCTTTCTGTCCCATGCCCACCATCACTCCGGTGTGCCTCGGCCGCCCCACGATGCTGGGGAAAACAGCCCGGGGGGCATCGTCTCTGGCGAAACCAGCCTGCGGCAATTGAAATTCAATTCCGGCGCCTGGAATTATTCAACAATAAAATGCCATCAAAAGCTGGGATTTCATGCCTTTATAATGCACAGTGCTATGCCTTGCCAAGATGCGAAAATTGTAACAGTGTCAGGAGATTTCAACTCAGTTTGGTTTCAAGAGTTCGAAGAATTGATCGAGTCGCGATAAATGAAAAAATGGTTACAAATGTGGCGGGGGCTGCATTTGAAAATTAAATATACCTTAACCACTCCAGAGCCGTTGTCGCACACCAAAGGCTGGATATCCTCTCCGTCCGCCATGGCTAATTTTCACCTTGCACATCAGAAGCATGTTGAGATTTCAGCATGTGAGAATTTTTTTTTATCGCCGACTACGCCGCGTCGGATTTTACACTGTAGTAATAGTATTTGTATCACTATCAGCATTAGTATTATTATGAACAATTTTATTATTAGTTGATACCAGGAAATGGGGTCTGACATTGCAGCCTCGGATTGTGCGACCATGGCCATCATCATCGTCGCCGCAGCACAATTATCCCAATTTTACCGCCCGGCGTCATTCCCTCCCTCACTTCCTCACTCCACCTCTGGTGTGTTCCTTGCTTTGCCAGGCCCCAACGGACTCTCCCATTAGGGTTCCGGGGTGCAAAAACAAGCTGCAAGGGCACAGGCGTGGATGCTGTTGGATCTGTTGTGTCACGGCCACGGGATTGCAGTGAGATTGCTGTTGTTGCTGCTGCTGCTGCTGAGCCACTCTCCCACTACTTCGAACTTTCACAATGGTGCTCTGCTTTGACCCTCCCCCTTCCTGTGAATCTCTCTGGGTTCTGCGTTTGAGAGTTGCTGTGGGCGTGTCTCTCGTCTCTTGATTCTGGGAGGATTCGAGATTTGGAGTGTGTGTGTGGGGGGGGGGGGGGGGGGGCATCTGTTGTACAGCACGTTTTGGATTGGAGATGGGGTGATTATAGTGGGCGTGTTGAGTCGAGGTCACGAATGGATTGAGAAGTTTGACTGGGATGTTTTGAAATGGTGGAATTGGGTGAACGGGGAGAGAGCGACGAAGTGAGGTTGAGCCATTTCGATGTTAGAGCAGCGTGTTCCTTTCGTTTTTCTCTTTTATTCTTCTTTCAAGTCGTGAGGATTGGGTAGAGGTTATTGTGGACAGAAGAAATGGGTTGCTTTCGTCGTTGATTGGAATTGAAATGTGGAACTTTATACAAAGCTGGTGAAAAACTTGGTGTCTTCATTTGGAGGCCATGATCGAAGTTCGTTTGATTCAAATTTTTTGTGTTCTTGTAGAGTGTTCAACTGGCAGTGATAGTACTTAGAGCTTGATTTAAAGTCTCAGATCACGGCTGTTCGCCTTGGCTTTTTCTTGCTGCTATGATTCATACGTTGTTGCGAGATCAAGGACGGAAACCTCATCTTTTCTTTTATGCATCAATCCTGTAGAGTCGCAAATCGGACTGGTTTGATATACTGCGGTTAGACAAAAGATTCACGACTGATCAGTGTGGCCGCTGCCGTTGAGTACCCTAAATTTCAACATTAACTGCTATCTATACGTGTAAACACAAGTATGGCACATACTAAACTTCTTCACTGAGATGAAAGTTCAGAAAGAGAGCTACATACCGACATCAAGGTATATATGTCTGTATATATGCCGATGTTGTCGGCATCACATAAAACTTCAACCTTGATACGTAAGCTACTAGGTCTCATTCTGAAAGATGTGATTTTTGACCTTTTTAGTGAGATCTGCCTGGGATATAAAGCTAGTAGATCAAAGGCGCTGGAATGAGTATGCGGCGACTAACGGCTGCTTTCATGTGCAGAATAAACTTGGCAGAGGGCATCGCGATAAGGTCCAGCAGTTCATGACTATTACTGGAGCCAAGTACTTTATCCACACTACAACCTTCTTGTTTTTGGTTTTAATCTTGATGGGCTTGTTGGGGGATTCGTCGTGCATTCAAGGACTTCGAGACTCTGTTCATTTATGGCTGCTTGTTCTCGTATGATTGTGTGGTGGTCTAGTAGTATTTTCCAACTCTTAACCTGTCGCTGGAATTAGCTTCAATTTATCTTCAGAAATGAAGCTCCTTATATCTGTTTGTTTCCTTCAAAGTCTGACGTCGAAAAAACTTGGTTCTTGATGCAGTGAGAAAGCCGCTCTGACAGCCTTAAAGGCCAGCGATTGGAATTTGGAAGGAGCCTTTGAAATTTTTTACAACCAGCTACCTGCGAGACCAGTTACAGACCCTCGGCATCTGGAAGAGTTTTATCTTAAATACAAAGGTAAAACGAGAATCATGACAGATTCTTATCGCTTCTGTTCTTCGTTTGGCATAGGCGCTTTGTGCGATATCTCTTCGTTGCTGCAACGCACTAAATTCAGTACCATAGAACTTCGCTTGTCGAATCTTTTGTAGTTTGATTTGGCTACAGCCCTTTCATCTCTCTCCCTTCGTAATATTCCTCTTAACTATTTAGGTTTGATGTTCGTTGTGATATTATTATTGTTATTGATATTATTGTTATGTCCCAATGCCTCTGATATGATATATTCTTTTACATGTGATTAGATGCTTATTCAGATATGATATTGGTCGATGGGGTTTCAGCATTCTGTGATGATTTGCAGGTGAGGATTAGTTCACAAACTCTTGAAGGAACTCTTTTACCTGCAGATTCAATTTTGTCTCGCTCATCAGTAGATTTAACTTTGAGCATGTTGATTAGGGCACCTGGAATTGGTGATAGTCGAATTGTAGGAGGATATGCTGCTAAAAGTGTTGAAATTCCTAGCGGTGCATGTCAAGAGAGGATTATTGGGTATGTTTCGAAAGTTAGAGGCTATTGGTGGGGTGACCTGATTTATGTTACAATGTCTTCAATGTCCACACTGGATACCATACATCGACTTGTCTTTTGATTGTTACGCTGCTTGATATGCAGGTAGATCCAGGGGACGTTGTTATGGTAAGCATCTTATTGGGTCCCAGTTACCAAGTTATGAGTATTAGAGTAGCAAGCTGATCAAGCCTTTGCAAATATTGTGTAACAGAGGGCGCTTGCTTGGGAATCCTAGTGTTGAGTAATTATAGATATGCAGATTCATCGGTTAACAGATGACTTGGTTTAGCATCTAGCGTCCTTGAAATAATAGCCCCATTGATTTCAACTAATGGAGTTTCCATTTCTTTTGTGCGTACTCGCAGCTTGTCATCTCCTGGCATATGAAAGCAGTCACCATGTGTGAATTCTCAAGACAAGAATTTATTGGTGGCCTCCAATCGCTGGGGTGAGAAAAATGTCCTTTGTTGTCATTAATTTCTGCTGCGCTCCTATGATCATATGCTCTTTCTCAACATATGATTTACATATGCGTGTACATGTTCGTCTTAAACGTAGCAATTTTCTTATGGCTTACAGTATGTGGACTTTGCCATTCGTGTTTGCGAACTCGAGTTAAACGCTGTAGGAGCAGGCATGCGATCATTTCCTATGATAGTTGTAGAATCTAATATTAGCACGTTGTGTGTGACCGGTTATCTGCCATACGTGCATTGTAAAATGTGAATGTAGATGCTGTACAAATGCACTCTGGACGGTACTCTTTTACTTTCTCATGACAGGTTTTGTCAACCGCTGCATGCATTCTCAGATTAGTTAATTATTCATGAAGAGGTTCGCTGGCGTTGTGTCACTAAGTCCTGGTTTGTTGTACATGACAGGGTGGACTCACTCTATAAGCTCAAGCACCTTCTCCCATCCTTACGGGCAGAGCTGAAAGATGAACGTAAGTATACCTGTCATAAATCTATTTCCGTGTTCACAAAATGTGATCCGTAGAATCACGACATATCTGTCTCGGAGCCTCGCTTAAAATTGTGACTATTGAGAAGTGAGGTGTGCTGATTCATCAAGGGTAAGTTTGATTGTAGATACCGAATTTTGGGGCAGACAGTATCTTAGACTTGAACCTCTTACACCTTCCTCTCTGCAGACAAATTTCGAGAAATTTACAACTTCTCCTTCAATTGGGCTAAAGAAAAGGTTAGCACTTCAACTTTATTGTCAGTTCAACCTATTCTTCCTATAAACTCCTGTCCATTTTTAAAAGATAAAATTGGATCATTTCAAACAAAGCATTAAGAGCAGGCAAACATTTTCTCTTCACGTTTAGAAATTTATGGCGAGCTATGATGCTTGCTGGCTGAGCGATGCTTTTAGAACTGCAAACTGAAGCATATCTAGCTTCTGAGTTGAATCTCATGTGTTTGAAGAATATGAAGAGCACTCCACCAGAACCTCATTCGTTGAGAGTTTTCCTCCTATATATGAGCTTTTACGGACATGTGTATCTGTTGTTCTAAATAGTGTTTGTGACCCAAATTCCAACTTGAGGCTCAAATTTAGTTTATCGTAACCTGGTCTTGCTCATAAAGGGACAAAAATCACTGGCGTTGGATACTGCCTTAGGCATGTGGCGGCTATTATTTGCGGAGCGGTTGTGGCCTCTCGTAGAATCATGGTGCCAGTTCTTACAGGTTAGTCTTATGCATCCTAGAACTGTGAATGCAAATCTTGCGGTTTGCTTTGCTTGTCTTTGTTTCGTGAGTTGTCTTCTCTGTTTTTATTAAGTATAGAGTTTGTGTTTTTGAAGGCTAAGCACAACAAAGCTATCTCGAAGGATACCTGGGCGCAACTTCTTGAATTCTCTAAGGTAAGCCTGACAGTACTGACTTTGTTTAATCGCAAGTTGTAATCAACATGCTTGCACGGAGTTCTATTGTTTTGCTATTACTAACTGTTTGTTTTTTCTACACAGACAATTGACCCGACACTCTCAAACTACGATGCAGAAGGCGCCTGGCCATATTTAATTGATGAGTTCGTGGAGTATCTACGAGAAACTGGGGTAGTGCATCCTCGTTAAGTATACTTGCTTGGCTGCATCATTAGCGCTTATCGTGATGAGGTTTCCTGCTTTGGGGCTTCTGAATCCAAGGTTTGTCTACCCAGTGGAAGGTCGATTGACTGCAATCCAAGTGCTTGCAGGCAAATCTGTAGTGTTAATATCTTACAAGGTCACCTTCCACAGTGAAACGTTTCAACGATAAGATCCCGAAGTGGAGCTTGACAAATATCTTGGACTGTTTCCTTCCAAGATATAGGTATGTGGTAACTCTTTGCTTCTGAATAGTACAAAATTATTAGAGAGGCAGAACCTGGTCAGGGCGACCGAGGCCACTGTAATTGTTGGTTTGTGGACTCAACAGTCACAACATGAATTTTAACAGGACCCAGAGGTTATTTTGACCCATGGTCGCTAATCCACAGAAATTGCGAGTGAGATCTTTACTGGGAACAATCTGCTTTCCATACTGCTGTCTAGCTTCCCAATTCACAAAATTTGCAATCGGTTTGTTTTCAGATGCGTATTAGTGAATGATAGTTCTGACCTGGGGTTGTGTTTCTCATACAGCCTGTTCCAGGTGCCCGGGTGAGGCTTGCTCATCTGGACTTTGATGGTGCTGTTAGCCTGTACGGTTTAAACCCTGCACAGCGCATCGGAACTGCTACCTGTATTGTTGGGTTGAATGGCAGTTCTACAAACATTTCTTCACACAGAAGGATTGTCTTTTTGGATACATATGAAGTTTAACAATGTCCTTTAGAAAAGTAGTTGAGAGCAGAGGGTGGAAGGCAGCAGTTGCCTCTAGCAGACGAACATACCAGTACCGGAAGAGGTGGCACCTCGGTGCACAGGAAGAGATGCCTCGGTCATTTTAAAAATAATTATGTTTCCTTAACTACAGGGTCCCCCATGGACGTGATAGTTTGCCACTATCGCATTTTTTCAGTTTGTCCTGAGAAGGTTACTGTACGATCCTGAGATTTCTAATAGATATAGCAGCAGAAAGAGCCTTGAACGTGGTACAGATATTAACTCCATGGTGCTCTTTTTGCTTTAGAAGGGATTATTGTGGTTGGATGGAACAATGTAAAGGTAATCCTATCGCAATAATGCTTCAGATGTGCAGAATCACTTGAGCCAAGGCTTACTCTGAAGAGCATTCAATAATGTAAAAATAAATGGCAGAGGTGACCCTGCTGGACTTGGTTTTAGTTCTTCGCTCCTCTCTCTGGTACTGTAAAGTCGAGCCTGCACATTGGGGGATGCCACAATGAAGTTGACCACTAAGGCATGCTTGGATCCAATATGGGATTTTTGAGAAATGGCGAGTGTCGAATGCGAAGACTTTGCTTGAATTAATGACGTTCAATTTGGTTCGTAATATTGGTGGTTCCTTTGCTATGGTCTCACCGTACTGCTTCTTCCTTCTGTTTTTCACTTGAAATTTTTATGGTGCTCTGCTGGGAATCATTCATATAACTCAGGAGCAGTGCGCAATTTAGAGTCGTAGTTATTTTTTGTTTATTACATTCAACAATTGAAATGAAACTCACAAGATCAGTAAAGTAGTGGTTGGCCCATCCACCCACTGCTACCGAATGGCATCTTGTTGAGAATTCCCCGCAGAATTCACCATCTTCCACTTTAGTATTTTGATTGTCCATGGAAACATACACAGAAAGCAACTTGCATAGTTTCACTCTCACAATCCATCATGCTTGAGTGTCGAAGGTAGATGCCTCTGTCTTGTATTGGTAATCTTCCAGAATGTGGAACAAGCTGCCGGTATCACTTGCCTGGGTTGAATCTGACGACACCACGTTGAATTTATCCACTTATTCATGTCTTCATCGATTGCAAATGGCAGAAATTGCAAGAAACATCCAGCTTGACTTGGATGAAAAAATCATTCTAATCCTCTAGAGTGCAGCCAAACCGTCGTCGTCACCAAGGTTCTGTGATAGTTATTCCAATGTAATTTTAGATCCTATTTGCCAGACGCAGTATTCCCGGGCATGCTCCTCGTCCCTTTACACATTTAGATCTGGTCGGTTGTCTCTCAACATTCTCAGAGTGCTTACTTTTGATTGTTCTTCTGTTGCATCGGATAATTTAAAGTGATAGTGAGGAATTTGAAGCTACTGTTTGCACGTTTGTCTTATGCTTTATCTAGGTTCTGCGGTGCTGGGATTGATCAACATTCTACGAGCTGAATCGTGTCTCTGTTGCACTACATTAGAGTTTTGTACACTCGTCAGTTCAGGGTGCTTTGGATAGTATTCGCAATCTGGGTGCAATGATGCAATAGATTAGGGTTGCGGGCTTGAGGTTTGTGCGTTGGCTGAGCTGGGAATGATCGCGACGAGGGTCGCACTTGACGTCTTGTTCATCGATGTAGAAGAAGAGTCGATGAGAGTGTGGTACTGGTGAGCGCTTGTGCAGCTGAAGGTTGAGCTTTGGCATCTAGAAATTATATCTCATTCTTCAAGGAATTAATAAATTCCGCTTCAATCAATTGTCTGAATGAGTTTCACGACTTTCGAGGAGTTACAAATTATTGAGGGCCTGTCCTTTTGTTAATTTGAGCGTTGTGCAGACACAGCAACCTTTTGTATTCAAGGCCCAGATTAGGTCTTTCTCTGTACTGCAATTTTCGACTAGCGGTTGTATACTCTTTGTTTTCGTCAGACGAAACTCCATGTTTCTGTTGGGAAGCTAGACTCCTAGTCTCTGTTTCTAGTATCATGGCCCCAAATGTATCCACTAGCCTTTGAGTGTATATTATTGCCTGAGTTTGGAACTGTAGATGATAAGAATGCCTGTCCGAAGTCCAGGCTCCGTAACAAACAAAAAGAACACGCTTCTAGAGTCTCTCAAAGTGATTACCATGGAATGCTGTCCAACTGTTCCATCTATTGTTGTTCGAAATCTTAAATGGCGGAGCACGGGAGGAAGAGTGCGCCGTGTGAGCGTTCTCGGCCGCCCCAATGTAACTGGCCTCATCCTCCTGACGTTGTTCGTCATGTCATCGTTTTTTGTCTTGGACCTCACCTTCCCCTGGAATTCGACAAACGGGAATGGGCTTCCGATGTTATCTCCGGGATGTGACCTATTCACTGGAAGTTGGGTGTACGATGAAACATACCCGTTGTACACAAATTGCTCATTTGCTGAGCCAGGATTCCGGTGCGCTGAGAACGGAAGGTCGGATCTGCGGTATCGTAACTGGCGATGGCAGCCCCGGGATTGTAATATGCCAAGGTCAGCCCATGAATTTCCCTCTACATTTTTTGCAGCAAAATCTGATTGTGTTGCTTTAGCATCAAACACTGATTTGAGGTAACGGCTGCAGTAGTGAGAGACTGAAACTTGTTGCAATACCCCCTGCGTCAATGCAGTGACTTCGCAGAATCGTTTCAAGTGCTCATTACACCAAATAAGGTTTCTAGCACTGTGTGCCACAATGTTTCCAATGCATCAGTTTTTGCGCACCGCATGAATGCTCAGATATATTGTGGTCATGCTATAGTACATTGTGAAATATTCTAACATGGTAGCTAAAATTGTGTCGGCAGATTCAATGCCCTAGACATGCTCACGAGGCTGCGGAATAAACGTATTGCCTTCATCGGAGACTCCATGGGCAGGACGCAGTGGGAATCTCTGATTTGTCTTCTCTTGGCTGGGGTCTCTGATAAGACTCAGGTGAAGGAAACCAACGGGAGAACTATCACGAAAACCGCCCCTCATTTAGCAGTATGGTTTCCCGGGTTTAATGTAACAGTGGAATACTATAGATCTCCCTGGCTTGTGCAAATGAGTCGCCCACCTAGACATACACCTCGACGGGTGGTGTCAACATTGAAGCTTGATACTCTGGAGCTAATTAGTAGAAAGTGGCAGGCGGCCGAGGTTCTCATCTTTAATACAGGCCATTGGTGGACTACTACAAAAACTTACCGCTCGTAAGTGCCCAGCCTAGATCTTGTGTGTCTTGATTATGAAACAACTTGATTAGGCTTCGTACTTGCATAGCAGTTTCAGCCTTTTGTGGTCGTCTCTGAATTCAATTGGATGTGAAGATTTAATTAACAAGGGTTTGGCAGTGGCTGCTATTTTCAGATCGGATCAAGCATTCGTCTGGGTATGAAGATGGAAGAAGCATACAGAATAGCCGTTGCCACATGGGCGGCCTGGGTGAACGAGCAGCTAAACCCAGATGTTACCCATGTGTTCTTTCGAAGTTTTGAACCCAGCCACTGGCTCCGAAAGGCATGCCTGAATAGCTCGTTACCTCTCACAAATCAGACCCATATTTATCCCTTGGAGCAGCACATGCAAGCCGGCGTGCTGGACAATGTGTGGGAGACTTTGCATGTGCGAGCCACTTTGTTGAACATCACCACACTGTCTTCATTTCGACCCGATGGCCACATATTCAATTACAGTCGTCGAGGTTCTCCCTTGGACTGTGCCCATTGGTGCCTTCCTGGCGTGCCTGACATATGGAACGAACAACTTTACGCTCTGTTTCTGCTCAGAGCATCTGGAAGAGCTAATAGCCAAGAAATCAAGCGTCTCTTCTAAGCACGAGGTTGAACCTGACCTCTAATGCTTAGGTTTTCCAACATTTGTGATACAATGAATCTGTATCCAAGTGTTCACCAGAATGGCAGCTGTCTTCCACATCTAAAAAGATTGTCCTCATTAATGGGTATCTTTGCAGCACCACAAACCAGGCTTGCCCTGGTTACATCTCGAATGGCAAGGCTTACAGGATTGGGCGACTTTGTTGTTTGTGCGTCATCATCTTCACGACTTGAAACTAACAGTGGAGAACACTGACAAGAGTGTTCCTGTGCTAGTTCTCGAGTCCACTCGATAGCATCATGCTTAGAGAAGTTCGGTTGAGCTTGAGAGAGATTTACAAAGACTAGCAGTTTTGCTTCCGCACACCCTTTTACGATTTAGACATTCAAGTAGCTCTTCACATGTATGGTTGAAGTTGTGACGATGCTTGAACCAGCGATGATCTACATTCATTCTATTGTACTCTTATCGAGTATCGTTGTATCATATCATTTATTTGAACGGCTGTCAAACTTCCTAAGTGAATAATGACTTGTCCCACAGTTTCTCTGGTTTGTGGAACGGTGGACATATAGGGGTGTGCAACGACCTACAAGTGTATTTTTAAGTTTGAAATAACTGTTTTGCAATTAGAAATCTGGTGCTTGTGACTATCGACACTCTAGGATTGAGCTTTGCTGATGGCTTGTGAATGCTTCAACTTCTTGCAATTGGGATTTTCTCAAGCGCCGCGTCTACGGTAGGAAATGACAATGGTGGACTTTCGAATGTTTGGAGCCCTCTCTTGTGAATCTAAAAATGCCTCTCTCGTGTTCAACAGTAGTGGTATTAATCTGGTATCATAGAAAGATTGTTTGTGAATGATACGTGACGCCCCTCTCTTTGCAATCAAAACCTGCCACATACACGACAGTATTACTCTTAGAAAGAACGAAATCAGCAAGTATGAAGCTCTCTTATTCACAAGGACAAAATTCTTTGCTACAAATCAGATGTGCCTACGGAAGATGTAATCACAACGTCGTCAGCTCTAAGCTTCAAAGATATGATCTTTTCATACAATCTACAGGTACCAATTGGTAAAAGCCAGGTATCCTGGCCATCTACAGTATTGAAGAATCATTATATGTGGGCGCCGGTTAAGAAATGAGCCTGAGTCTTCACTACTAAATGACACGATGACACTAAATGACACTGAATGTAAGCTTGACCGGTTACCAAACCATGGCCAACCAGTTACCACGATCTGTTTTATCATAGAGACATTGCAAAATTCCGTGAAAACCGTCAAGGTAACGATTTCCCTTTCAATAGTAGGATGGCCTTGTAATCGATACTTTTCCTTACTATGAGGGCAGATGCCAGGTTCACCAGGGCTACGAAATCATGCTTTGCACCTTGATTGTAAGGTAGCACCGAGAGGGTCAACGATCACGAACACCAAGGCTGCCAACCAGAAGACCAGACTTATCCATGTCAGAATCTCGTAAGGGATCACTCCCGATGACCACTTGGGAATACCATCTTCGGGAGTGAACTGAGGAACCCCATCAGCGTTGTACCGCAAAAGAGACTTGCGCTGTGAAGGCTTGAAGCTGGGTGGGAAGAAGACGTATATTACGGGAATCATCATGTGTGCTCCCACACTGACGAAGAAGACAGAAAGCCCCACTACAAGGAATATCTCACTGCAGTTGCCGGTGAAGAACGCACCAGAGGCGCGGTACAACACCACAGCCATCGAGGTGATCACAAATGCTAAATGATACTTGACTTGACCCACTTGGTTTTTGTACTTCGTAAGCCACGAAGAAACTGGGCCGGATTGTGACGTCTGAGCAGCCGCAGCGTTTTTGTCAATGTTGCTGGTGGGCACGAAGTCGTAAGTCGATTTGAAGTCAACCAATGATTCGATGCACATTTCTAAAAAATAAGGCGTGATCCACCAGAAGTGGGACTCCTCTCTGTTGCGCATCATGAGGCCCTGGGGCATGTTTAGCCAGAGAGCGAACCATGTGACGCGGAACATCAACAGGTATATTGCTAGATGTTTTACAAGAGTGGCATTTTCAGCTGCAGTCCCGACCGAAAGATTCCAGTTGAAGGCTAGAGCGCATAGCAGAGTCCCCATCAACAGCACATTGACAAAAGAGACGAAGTAGTAGCCAGTGTGGTAAAAGTACAAGATCTTTTGAATGAAGTTGAGCTGGCTCTCCCTACCCAAACAAGCTCTCGCAGAAGCTGAAAATTGCTGGATTGCACCCTTCCCCCACCTCGTCCTTTGTTTGATATAACCCTCGAATGTCCAAGGAGTAAGCCCGATCTGCAGCTTCTCATCGATATACACGGACTCGTACCCTCGGTTCCATAACGTGAAAGCCGTCATTGTGTCTTCTGTGATGGATTGCGGCTGGAATCCACCAATATGGTCCAGATACTTGCGACGAAACATCGCACCAGTGCCGACGCAGGCTGCAGTTCCCAGGGTGTCTCTGCTCGGGAGAATTCGGTCATAACCCAAGCTGGAACAATCGTTCAATGGGTCTCCAATTGGGAGATTGTAGAATGCCTGAGGGATCTGGACGAAGGACACGTCTGAGGAGCTCACAATGTGCGGCAAGAGTCGACGCAGATAGGAGGGATGGAGTATCATGTCCGCGTCCATCATAACCACATACTCAGCATTTGAGTACTTCAGCCCATTGTTCATGTTGCCGCACTTGAAGTTATGGGGCACCCCTTCCTTCTTCTCTCGGCGAATGTACACCACCCTCCCCGCAGTCTCAACCTTGATGGCATCGCAAAAGGCTCGGAGGTCGTCGTCGCCGCCATCATCAAGGACAAACACCTTTACTAGATCAACAGGGTAGTCAAGAGCTAGAGCTGCCTTGACAGATTCTATAGGTACTTCAGTGGGCTCCTTACAGCAAGGAATGAAAATGTCCACTGTTGGTGTGTTGGCCAGGCTAGTGTTTAGTAATCCCAGGTCCGGTCGGTTGCTTGGCGGTATCAGATGGTCGACTGCCGATAGCAGGGTGGTGATGAAATACAAGCACTCGCAGAACATGAGAACTATGAGCCAGGGCCTGAGCATCGTCTCACCAGGATGCGAGGAATAAATGGAGAATTTGTAAGCTACATAGTCGAATTGGGCGATTATAGAACTGATGACCAAGATACTGCAAAGACAATAATGCTTGAGCTTTTGATAATTCCTAATCGACAAATGTCTTCTTGGTTTCTCGTCTTCATCAGGTTCGTCGCACAACAATGGGTCGATTTTCTCGTTGCAGTTTAAGGTATTGCTGCGGTTGGATAGTGCGATTTCTACGTCGTCGTCTATCTCAATTGGCTTGTACACTACCGCTTTAGCCCAATCCATTGCGGAAGGAGGTGCCATGTGTTGGGTGGCACTGGTGGATCGAAATTGTGCAGCTTGGACTGAAACCCCGGCTGTTCACCACGCGCTTCAAAGGTTTCGGATTATGCTGCTTTGAGTTTGACTATTCGTAACCCGAGTGATCCTGCAACATAACGATTCAATGGACATCAGAAACTCGGTCTAGGAAAAAGAAACGCTATTTAGTTCTGTTCTCAGCAATCCAGTGATGACCAGGTCGGTCAGTCTCAGTGAGGCGCGTATCATGCAGAGAGAATTCATCCCATTCCAGGAAACTTAGAACCCAATTCCAAGAAGCTTGCAGTTTTAGGAGCGAGCATTGGAATTTGGTAACCACCAGTTCTCCCTGTGATCAGATAGCGCCTCGGAATGGGTTCACTACCTCGAATCAAGGGGATATAGGAGAATTGACTTGTGCAAACGAACTATGCTCATAACTCTCGAAGATGCAAAACGCCAGAAGAGCAATTGGAACAGGAAACACGAAAGAATGCACCATCCAAAGAAGGAAAGCTTCACCCCTGCGAAGAGGCGAAGGGGAATCCTGATGCATCGAGGACAGGAGTACCGAAGGAAAACACGTAAAATCGTTGCATCGTTCGGAACATTCGTAAACGTCTAAAAACTTAGAGGTCCAGCGATTCCTGTGCCTCTAATTATACGATCCTCAAGCAAGCGTAATTCTCCCGAGATCAGCTAGGGGCTGTCACAATGGAGCTGAGTCACGCAGAAGACAAGTGCCTCCACAATTTCTTCTAATTCTCAATTTCGACCACCTACCTCTACACCGAAGTATCTTTTCACATTGCTCACGGTTCTGCAAACACTGACGGGTGGACGTCATACAATCTGAGGTTTAAACAGAAAGAGTTCTTACACCCTCCACTCTAGATGTCTCCAGTGATGGCACAATGTGGTCTTGCAAGACTCATTAAAACCTCATATGCATTCGCCGAGTCGAAAGTCTCTGTCTCCATTTGTCAAGAAAAGAAACCAACAGCGAATATCCACAATCCCGGGGCTGGTTTGCCCAATGCATTGAAAACACTACACCATTAACCCTCCAGAGCTAATTATCAGACACTGAAAAAGTTTGCCACAGTTGTACGTTTTCCATAGACATCTAGCTAGCAATGCTTGCTGTAACACAGCTTGGCAATTCCAGCAGTAGCACAAGACTTGCCAGCAGAGCCGCAACCTGTCCACAAAGTCGTAACCGCTGCGATGAACCGAACCCCTTGGTGCAATGCCAGTCCACGGGTGGAGATCAACCACAACGTGACTTCGCAAGGGCTGCCACCACTCCTTCCCAGGAGCCTGGCCCCACTCCAGAACCTGTAACAGCCCTTTCACCCGGCTCATAAAAGCCCAAATCAAGCTCTGACGTTCTTGCAGTCAACGTGGACCTGACGAGTAATTTCCCAGGAAACAAGTGCTGAGTAAAGATCTGGCAATACAGTGAAACTCCGAGCCGCAGTGCTCGGTCCAATCTAGAACTCCACTGGAACTCATCGACAGCGTCAGCAGCTTCACCCAGGTGGTGGTATAGTTCGTGGATTCGCGTGTGAGGACCATAACAGTGTGGTGTCTAGATGGATGGATTCAGTGCCTCCTAATCTCTATAACTAGATCATTGGGATTGCACTTTCTTGTGCCATGTTTTGCCTTCAATCTGCGCAAATGTTCCTGCTGACTTGACGCTGCCTTTCCCAACAATGCCGCCATAAAGTTCCCATGCATAAAAACGTTTTCTTCTTTCGTAGAAAAGTTCCACTCCGGAAATGGCATTCATTCATTTCACTTACTTTTTTTCCTTTTTTCTCCTAATTCGGTATCGTTCTTATGAAACTCGGTCCATATGTTTCAGGTGTTGGTAATTTTTTCTTTTTCTTTGACTTCATCGTCGGTCTATTTTTAGGGTATCTGATGCGTTTTTGCATTTTGGTGGTCAATCACACGCTTTTCAAATAACACAAGTGTTGTGTTTGAGTTTGTTGTGTTCTTCAATAAAGACTAAATGCACCTTTTACAGTAAATTTTTCAGATATGAAGCATTGTTGTAGAAATTTCATGTTGATATGTTACAATAATAAGACCCATGATTTTTGGTAATGAATAATGACTGCAATTGAATATAATACCTATTTGGTGTAATAATGTTTTAAAATATTTTTAAAATTTCCAAGAAGAGGGTTTTCTTATTATATATATGTATATATATATATATATATATATATATCCAAGGTTTCTAAAGTTTTATTTTAAAATTGAAAAATCTTTTAAAATAGACTATTTCATAAGGTGTTAAAAGAATATTGAATACTTTTGGTAATATTAAAAGATTCAAAAAGCTATATTTATCAACACTTTTTTTATGACATGTGATCTTTTCAAAAAATTAAAAAAATATTATCTAGTTATGTTGAAATGTTACAACAATCTTTGTCTTTTCTTTTAAGCTCAACTTGGTGTTTATTTTATTAATGTCAAAAGAAATATCCATTCCTAAGTTTTGATAAAAATTTATTCATTGAGAATTAGATGGCATAATTTTTTTTTATTGATTTTAAGTATGAAATGGGGTTCTTGTTATGATTATTTATAAACTAAAACTAATTATTCATCTTAATAACCATAGCATATTTATAAAGATAAATTTTAAATTTATAATAACAGAAAACTACAACAAACAAGGGAATAGTGTATCTATCTAAAGAACTTGTTTAGCATCCTATATTATTTGTAAGTAATTCATAAAAATATAATAAAAAAATTGCATTTTTTAAAATTAATTATCAAATTAAAAATTTGACATTGTATTCAGTTGGATGAATCATTACACCATATGTAGTAACTATCATAAAGCAACTAAAAAAAAGCTACAATTCGTTTTAAAAACCAATAGCATGGAATGATTTTTTTGGCATGTCTAACAAATGACCGTAGTTTGCATTTGGAATTTTATGTTCAAATTCATAAAATAATTAATTTAAATTAAAAGTATTAAATTTCATTCAATAAGACATAAAAAATTTTAATTCTTTATTTCTAATGACGATCTTTTATTAGATATATTTAGTCATGTCAAATAATTACTATCCAAATATAAAAAAAATCACAAGTTTTAACAATATTGATTTTCTTTAAATATGTACCATGACTTGTTTTGTAACAAAAAATAAAGTGGTTTAAAAACATGTTAGATAGAATTTCATTCTAAAAATAGATACACTTTCTTTCATAGATCATGCTAATTTTTTATTATTATTAAAAAAACATCATACATAAAAAAACTTAAATTAAAAGTATTTAATTTAATGATTAGATAGTATATAAAAAAAATCCAATTATAATTATTTATTCATGTTTTTATTAGATTAACACTCTTTTCATAAAATTACGACAATTATTTTATATAATTACACTTAATTTTATATAAATTCTTTTAGTATTTTAATTTAAATACATATTGTGATAAATATAAATATTTAAAAAAAATACTTTTCTTATTAAAATATTTATATTAAAATTTTAACTTTATTTATAAAAAATATTATTTATTTATTTAAATAGTATAAAAATATAAGCTATAAATATTTTGTAATTTTGCAATTTAAGATCTTATTGTAAGTATAAGAGAAATGTTACCAAAATTTACCTATATATGTGTATGTATGCAAATACCGAGTTTAAATGTCCTTACAAAAACATGATAGTGAAAATACTGTTATATATATATATATATATATATATATATATATAAAAACACTTATATACAAATATTATTGTTTAAAAGCTAGAATTAATTTGATATTTTTACATATAAACATTTTTACAAAAGAATTCAAGTTTATGAATTATTTCTATATATTATATATTTATCTTTTTAAATACATATTATTTTACCATAAATTTTTACATATTTTTACATATTTATGTATCTAAGAACATAAAGAATGTTTAATAAGATATAATTCATGTGAATTAATTATAAAATACACACTTACAATGTGTGCATGACAATTAGAACAAGGATTTTATACTTTAATTATGTGATTTTTTAATTTAATTTAATTTTTTTAATCTTTAGCTTTTTTATACTTTTACAATCTATAAAAATTATTTATTAAGTAGACTTAAATGCCACAATCAAATTCATAATCAACAAAATGAATAAACATTGATGTTTTTACTAATTATTGAAATTCATGGCTACTAAAGTTTGATGCTATTCCAAAAACAATTGGCAAACTTGACATCTTTGATATATTTTTATATACATAAATTTTTGAGTTTAAAATTATTCTTAGATAAGTTGGAAAATCCTATATCTTTGATGATTCTTGCAATCCATGGCTATTAAAGTATGATATCATTGCCACATAAATTAAAAAATATAATATTTTGGCACATTTTTATATATACAAGTGTTTGAATTTGACACCATTTCTACATAAATTGGAGAACCTCACACCATTGAAAACCCTTGAAATATATGGCTATTGAAGTTTGATGTTATTGCCAAAAGAATTGGCAAACTTATTATCTTTGATGTTATTGCTATATATATATTTTTAAAAACAATATGTATTTGAGAATCTTAAACATATATATAAGTTTAATTTTAATATTATTGCCAAAAGAATTAGAAAGTCTCACTTCTTTTGTAGAACTTTGCATATGCAAATGTTTAAAGTTAAGAATCATTAGTTCAAGAATTGAAAAATATTCTTATGATGTGTATGTGTTGAATACTTTTTTTCTTTTTTTTTTCTTTTTTTTTGTAATGAATGTTTTTTTTTTAAAAAATAAAGTCTCATAATAATATGCATGAAAAATATATACAATACATTTCATATATATATATATATATAAATTCTTTATTTTTTATTCTTCAATTTTGAATGTGTAAACTTATATAAGTGAAAAATTAATGATGCATATGTCTATTTTGTTTTGTTTTGTTTTGTTTTGTTTTTTTTTTTTTTTTAAATAAAAAATCATTGTATAAAATCATTTTTCAACTGACTACATCTAAAATGGAGTAGTTTTTTTTTTCTTATTTTTAATTATTAATTAAATTAAATACAAGAAAAAATGATGTTTAAAGAGAAGAGTTAGTAGAGTTTATTGAGACATCTTTAAAAAAATAAAAACATATTTAGCGACTAAACTGAATTTATTTTCTCTACGCTTATTGTTTTTTTACATTAATGACACCTTTGGTAATTTTTTCACTTTCTTTTCATCAAAGTCCATCAGTCTGTTTCTTTTCATATATATATATATATATATATATATACATATAAATATATGTACTTGCTTTGGAATGTATATTTTCATACAAATAAAAAGATTTCGGCATATATAAAACGAGCTAAAAATACCAGTAAATCATGCACCTTCATACATTGCCATGTTTCTTTTCGCAAAATTTATAACTCTAGATGTCCTCAGAGTTGTGGAAGACTTGTAGAGGTTCTCGGGAACCAGCGTTCCCTTCAGGTACCCACGTGTTCCCCACGGCGTCCGATTAGCTGTACCCTGTCCAACCCAGGACCCCCTGCCAGCAGGGCAATTATCATTCATCCAGAATACATCCAATGTAACTGAAAGCAGCCCTGTCATGGGCCCCTATATTTTGAAAGAGGCGTGGAAGAAATTGGCCTCGCCTTCATCCATGGATGAAAAGTTTCCTCAAACATGTTGCCAAATCCCAAGGGAAACCATGTGTTGTATGACGAGAGGGTTTGAAGTTTATCAAATCAAAATGA